GCACAACAATAATGTGCTTTGGGTTGGAGAAAGCAAGTGTTGACCCTGGAAATGGCCCATCTGTCTCTTTTAAGAAGAGCAGAACAGGATCATGCAAGTTCCAGCAGGGACAACACAGTATGGACGTGACCATTCTTGGGCACTGCTCCATAAGCCTCCTACTGCCTGGTGGTAGGACTCTGGTGTAGTCCATGCAAAAAGGAAAGCTACAATGTGAGTGACTCCCTCAGATACACACAGAACTGCATCATCTTGTAGTGGGTAGATTTAAACTGGACATCAGGAAAAAATTCTTCAGAGAGAGGGGTGTGAAGCACTGGAACAGGTTGCCCAGAGAAGCTGTGGATGCCCCATCCCTGGATGTCTTCAAGGCCAGGCTGGAGGAGGCTTTGAGCAACCTGGTCTAGTGGAAGGTGTCCCTGCCCATGGCGGGGGGGTTGGAACTGGGTGATCTTCCAATCTTGGTCCCTTCCAACCCAAACCATTCTATGATTCTATTATGGCAGTAGGAAATTTGATATATGACATGTCAAAAAGAAAGTGATAGCTGGTTCTCTGCTGCCTGGAAAGATATTTCTTAGAGCAAAATGCTCCCTCGTCCATTTTTATGAGGAAGACAGGGGTAGAGAACACTCTCTGTAGCACAGTGCATGGCAGATAACGGTGCATGAAGTTGGGGGGATAGCTGAAGAGTCACTGACGCTCCTGAATTGGCTGGAAATACAAACTGCAGTATATAACCGAAAAGCTGTGACTAAAGAGGACCTGTCAACCACATGAAGACTCTGTTAGGTAGGAAAGAGGAAGATCCCATGCCAGACACAGTCTCTGTGGCTTTGTACACACTACACCATGTTAGGGAGAACTGATGAGGTCTTCTCTGGAAATGTTTTTCATCAGAAACAGCAGAGCATTCAAAACTGAAAATTGCTGTGGACTCAGTGTCTATGTAGATATCCCACTTTGTACATGAAATATCAAATATAAGAAAGGCTTGATCCTTGAGCTTCCTCATTAGTGAGCAGTCAGTCTTTCCGAAGAGCGATGTTTAATTGCATTGGTGTAAAGAGGAAATATCTCCAGCAGGACAGCTGGAAAGAACCTCACCACCACGTATGTGAATGTGCAAGTCTTTCACCTAGGAGGATGAAGATTGAGGTCTAGACCCTTGTTTGAATCGATGTGAGTTAAAAACTGAAAGAGTATGTTCTTCTCCCCAGACCCAGTATGCTGATCAACAACATGGCTACAGACTACCCCTGAGGACAAATGTTTTTCCATTAAAAATTTCCAAAATTCTTCATTTCTTCCTATTGTAGACAGTTAAAATGTTTGAAAATCTCAACAGTATTTACGTGACAGGAAAATCAATTTCTGCCTAGCTCAAAATGCTCAATAGTCTAACTGATCCAGGCAGTATTAGGGATTCAGTGATCAAGACCATATTCTTCAGTTTTAAAATGTTCACAAGCCTGGAAATACTAGCTCAGAATGAACTGTGAAAGGCTTAGAAATTGTACTTATTTATTCTGAGCAGATGTGATCACATACTTGATATTTCAGACACTTCTGGTTATATTTGTACTGTTTTACTTGGGTTCTTTGCAACTGATATTTTCCTCCGCTTTTGCCTTCCATATTCGGCAGTTTCATTTTTTCAGAACTCAAGTTGTATCCTGAAAGGCTCTCATGTTCCTTGGGAGTTGGAATATGACTACGTATGTGTGTGTACTTTTCCAAAGAATGAAGTTAAACTATGGGGCTGCATTATTTCCAGGACTATCCACAGAATATATTGTTTTAGAGTGCATTGCATTGATGTTGAGAAAAAGGCTATCAATAGACTGAAAAATTAGTGGCCCTGACAGGGAATATATCTAGAAGAAATTTCCTAAATATTTTAATACCCTAACTTCTTATTCAGAAATCAACATTTCAACTGAATATAATAATTAAATTACACTTATTAATGTTGGTTTATTTTATATCTTCACCAAATATAAGAATTTGTGGTAATTAACTGCAGCCTCCACACCCACGGTATCATTTTTGGTTCCGTGCAGATGCTGTAAGGAGCAAAGCTGTCACTGCCATCTAGTGTCCTCAGAGCAGTCCTCCAGAGTGTTTCTGGAGATTATGATGAGAAAAAAAGCATTTTTCATGCTAAGATTGAATTCCTCCTCCAGTTTCTCAGGAGTAGTAGACATCACGTAGCTCACAGTACCTCTTACACTGTTTTTTGCCTTTCCAACATATTAATGAATTTAGAGGACAGCTATCTAGTTTCTTACTTTGCCAAGCTTACATGATGCTTACTCACTTTTTTCTCTCTTGGAATATATATTTGAATCCTCTCAATCCTACTTGTTCAGACTCATGTAACCAGCACTAAAACTAGTCCTGAGGTGCATCTGACAGATTTTTTTCTTGCCTTATCCTTTCTGCCCCTCCAAATGATCATTCTTAGCCGAGATCAAATTGGATATGTGTCATATTAATCAGCAACAGTTCATATACTATTAGGTGGATTTGTGTAGTTCCACATAAAAACTAGCGACCTGGTGGGAAGTTACTAATTATGCTTGGTTATTAATTCTCCTGGGACACAGCTGTCTCAGCATCTCATGGCCCTTTCCTCACCCATGACATCTCAGGGAAAGCAGTCAGTTCAGCCACTGTCTTAAGGAAAGGACTAATTTCTTTTCAGTACTTGATGGTCTTGGGTAATAATCCACATGGGGCCCACCAGGATGCGTACACTGTTATGAGACAGCAGTGAGTCTGGGGCACCAGGTCCTGCACAGAGTTTTCCTTTCTGGCTGACAGCAGTGTCAGGGTCCTTCTAGCTCGGACCTCAGCCTTCCACTTCCGCAGCACAAGTATTTTTGTTATCCATTCTTTTCTGAATGAAATGCCAGGAACTGACAGCCTGGTGCTTTTCTGAGCTGAGGTGGAGCTAACCGCAGGGCAGCGCACGTCTCTTGCTGGGTGTGCGGATGCATGAGCTGGAGCCGTGCTTGGACTTGTGCCGACGGCTGCTTCCAGTCAGCTGAGCAACAAACGGGAATCTGAGTGTTTGCTCTGGGAAGCAGCTGGATATGATCATGCCGAAGCCTCTGGAAGATCCAGCTTCCTATGCAGTATCTTTTTTCTCTGCCAGATGTTCAGTGTTAACAGAAATCCATGTAGATATGAAAAACATTCATGGGTGTCTCCTTGCTTCCCTGTGCACCTTTGCATTCCCTGTGCCAGTGAGGCTCAGGTCAGACCTTTGAAAGTCAGAGCTCAGACCCAGCTGTTGGCCCTTATGGAAGACTATTATTTGGACACAATTTTCCACCACGTCTTTATACTGAGCATAATGAGGACTAGGGTTCCTTCTCCAGAACCTTATTTCACTGCAGAATAATTAAGAATAATTAATAATTACTGCTGCCCAGTATCAAGTGTTATTTTTCAGGCACACCATGTCTGTCAAAAATTATTTCGATATATGAATGAATCAAATTCTTTACTATGCATAGAGAATTGTACTGACATTTTCCCTAACAGTTTTATCAATATTATGTCATATGAAATAACTTTGATTTTAGTCCACTTTAAGTTGTTCCCTTTGTAAAGTTTTTTTTCAGCTCTATTTCCTTGCACTTCTTTTAAGCATGTTAAGGTCTGGAGTTCATTAATTCACAGTTTTACACTCAGAGGACACCACTAAATCTATTACATTACCTCATCTGACCATCTCTGTCACATAAGTTACAGAATTAAACTCATTTGCCCGTTGGTGGGTAAGTCTGGCATTTTATGCATGTTTAAAGGTGTTCAGTGCTAATGGGCTTTGCTTGGCAGCCCTGGCTGATTGACTGACTTAGGGGTTGTTTTTGAGAAGGCAGAAGAGGACAGTGTAGTTAGTTTCAATTAGCTATTAATGTTTAGCATTCAAATTAAAATGGAACTGAATTTCGCAGTATTCCTTCATAATTTCCTATACTTTCTCTAACGGCAATGACTAATTCCAACTTAGTTCTTATTCTGCATTTCCAAAGGTTCTTTCTTATTTTCTCTCTTTCTGTCTTTCTCTGCAACTCTCTTTTCCATAAAATTCATTTTCTCAGCAAAAAGCAAAACAGATTTTTAAATAGAAGGAAAAATTTTAATGAATGGAATGCATAGATTGGAGTTCCTGATTTCTTTTATCCAATGTCTTGCTTTCACGACAAGCCGTGTAGGATATTCTAATTTTAGTAATTTCACAATGTCATTTTATTCCTCCAGTTTATTTAATATAATTTTTTTAAACTGAAAAATAATCACAGTCTGACATCATTTGCATTGATTAAAAAAAACCCCAAAAACCGACAACAAAAAACAAACCAAACCCACAACCAAAACTTACAGGTAGTGAAACAATTGCTAAGATATTAAATGAGTGACCAACAAGATAAAACGTATTCCTTTGAATATTTTGCTTTGAGTTTTACGGTTCTCCGCTGGCACGGTGAGGCACAACCTCTGCAAATGTCACTTGACCTACTTCAGTTTACACCAGCTGAAAACATGGACTGTGTTACCAGCTGTACTTTCATGCAAGGTTTCAGCCTGTGTGATTCTCTTCTGCTGCTACTTCTTCTGGTTTCCCCAGAGACATACAGGCTGATGATTTCTGCAGGGAACACTCTTTTCCTGCTTTTCTGTCTGCTTTGAAATGACACTTCACTGTTTCTATACCTTATGCTCATTCTAAAGATGACAGGGGCATCCGTTTCCAGGGGGACATTCCCATTCAAATGCGGTGACATTCAAATACCTTTGAATTCTCTAACTTCAGTGTTGCAGCCAGGTGTTATCCTACTCAGAGAGTCACCATGCAGTCCTCACTCATTCATTGCACATCTGAATTCCCAGTCCAATAACAGGAGTTTTACAAAGAGATGAAGGATTAGTTTGAAAATGTAACACTCTTGACTTTATCAGGTGTATTTTCTGGGACATGCTAGGAGATCCTTGAAGATGCTAGACATGCTCAGATTATAGGGAATTACAGTGCTCATGATCATGTAGGATGTATCCAGCATCTCACTTTAATGAAAGACAAACTTTAAATGGTGCAATGCCCCTTGAAATACTAACAATTAATTTTCTTCTTTCCTATTAAGTTAACTCAGTTCCAGACTGACATACAGCTATGTAGTTCCATATATACAGTATACATTTGGTGGTAGGTAGCCAGTGCTTGTTCACAGAACCTTGCTGTCCACTAATAAATCCATATGCCCATATTACTATTTCCACGTACTACAAACTGCTCTGCAGCCTATGACATGGCACTCAGCTGTAATTAGCACCAAAATATGGAGTTAGTATGCAGGACACGGACAATTCTTTTGCTCCAGATGCTGTATTCAAACTGCAGCGGTCCATTGAAGAAATAGAGATAACCTAAAGAAAAGAAAAGTTAAAATAAATTAACCCTGTTGTCACATTAAAATTATCCTTCAAGTAAAAATTATCCTGTTTGCTTTCATTTTTGAATAACACTTTAAAATGCAATATGTTATTATTTTGAACGCTGAGCTAAATTTCCAAAGGTCCTCATTCCATCTGCCAGACTTGGATCAGTGTTTTAAAATAACTAACACCTTAATCTACTGTCCAATTCTGCATTTTATTACTATACACCACTTGCTTAGAAAACTACGGGGTTAGCCTGGTAATGTTTAAGACTCTGATTTGGAAACACTCCTTGAAGAGTTGGATAGGAAAGGGTTCCATGTGAAGGAACAGACACATTATAATACTTCTATATTAAGCATATCACTTTAGGCTCCTAAGTAAGGAGGAAGGTCTTTTTTGGGTCCTGTGCTGGTTTTAGTTGGGATAGAGTAGCTAGTATGAGGCTAGGGGGGGTCTTTTTACAAGGGCCTGTAGTGACAGGACAAGGGGTAATGGGTTTAAACTGAAAGTGGGGAGGTTTAGATTAGATATCAGGAAGAAGTTCTTCACGGAGAGGGTGGTGAGGCACTGGAACAGGTTGCCCAGAGAAGCTGTGGATGCCCCATCCCTGGAAGTGTTCAAGGCCAGGTTGGATGTGGCTTTGAGCAACCTGGTCTAGCGGAAGGTGTCCCTGCCCATGGCAGGGGGTTTGGAACTGGATGGTCTTTAAGGTCTCTTCCAACCCAAACCATTCCATGATTGTATGATTCTATGTTTTGGATTTGTGCTGAAAAGAATATTAATAACATTGATGTTTTTAGTTGTTGCTATACCAAGTCAAGGACTTTTTTCAGTTTTGGTTACTGCACCTGTGTTCCCAGCTTCTTCTCTACAAGACAAGATTCTCTACAAGAAGCTGAAACACAGATCAGACAGCTGATCCAAACTAAGCAAAGGTTAGATTTCATGCCACCAAACGTCACCCTCAGTATATAAGCTGGGGGAGTTAGTTGGGAGGGAAAGCATCTGCTCAGGAACTGGCTAAGCATCGGTCAGTCAGTGGTGAGGAGTTGTATTATTTTGTTTTCCTTCCCTTTTTCTTTTTTTTTTTTTTTAAAATGACATTATTATCAGTAGTAGTATTAGTATTTTCATTACATAGGAGGAGTAGTAGTAGTAGCAGTAGTGGTAGTAGTACTGTTATTTCACTTACTTTTAATTATTAAACTCTTTTTATCTCAGCCCACAAGTTCTCTTACCTTTTTCCTTTGATTATCTCCCTGATCCTACTGGGGCAGGGAGGTGGGGGGTGGAGGTGAGCAAGCATCTGTGTGGTACTTTGTTGCTTACTGGAGCTAAACCATAACAGTTTCTCAAGTACAGATGTACACAGTACATAAGAGCTCTGTGGCCAGAGGGCTATGTAGATCAGAAATGTGATTCAGTCGACCACAGAAGTGTTGATGTAAAAAGATCTAAATTACAAATGACAGAATTTCCCACAGGACATTTGTCTTAAGTTTCAACAACAACCAATTGTGATAAGATTTCATTATCAGATTATATACCATTTCTTTGATAGACTGCATCCACTTTATCACCAATTCCTGCAAATTCTTCCTCTATCAGCCTGGGGTAGCCTGCTTCCATAACCTCTGCCTCTTCATCGTAACTATATTAAACACAAAAGAAAATTAAAATTCAGAGGATTTAAACAGCCTGGGAGTTTGTTCTGTGTCCTTTATATGCTTTGAAGTTACGAACGTCAGAAGAAGCCAGCTACCTTTAGGTACTTTATGTCTACTGCAATAATGAAACTCAGAGCAACAACCAGGGTACTCTTCCACCAGAATTATGAGCTCAATAACCACATGACTAATAAAGCTACATTTTCAGAACTGATCTATAAAGTACATATTATATGGAGATGATTGTACCTGGATGCACTGGCACTACAAGCCTACCCCGAGGCTGCTTGGCATCGAGGTGCTGGGAAAATATGGTAATATCTTAATTAAGCATAAGACCTGGCTCTAAGCCCCACTCATGGACAGTAAAAAACAACCATCCTGGGGTGGGATAAATTTCTTACTCTCACAGCACTGATACCATTTTATGTCACACAAGAAATTCAAGGAAGAAAGATGGGAAATTTGTCTAGGAGACATGATCATGCTACAAACTCTCCTGGATTAGGGTACTTAATTGTCCTTTCCTTTCTTTCACTCCTTCAGCTCTGAATGGCTGTGCCATATGTTTATAAAAGCCTTGCATACACATTTATGACATATTCTACACAGCTATAGCACCAATGAAAACCACAGACTGGAGATGGGTGCCACAGTCAAGTGACTGGTTTGACATCACCTTCTGACTTTTTAATACTTCTAGACAGGTTATGACCAGGGACACACCAATCTGTCTCCAGCTTACCTCCAGTACTTATTTCCAGTGAAAAAGAGGGTCTTGCCAGTGTCTTTAATATGGACGGCTGCATCTATTCTTTTCATTTGTTTTGGGAACCCCATTTCATATATCTTTTTAGGATAGTCTTCAACTATGTCATAGCCATTCAAAGCCCACACTTTCTTTCCTGGAAATAAGAACAAAATATGCAATAGTGTTTTGTAAAGACTCAGCTTTGACAGCAGAATAAAATGAGGATGCCATGATCCCTGTTTTCATACAGATTCTTAGCTCACATACTAGGCAGGTATTTATTTATGCTATGATCCTAGAGATTAATTGTACATCTCCTAATTCACTGAAAATTGTATAGATTTGCACAGTGTGAAACCAACAGTTTGCTTTATGAGCAAGGAAGGTAGGAACTTTGTTCTTCTATTGATTACCTTTACATCGAGATTGACTATATTTTCTGCCAACAGCAAAATTGAAAACTCACCCTTAAACATGAACACAAGATCTTTGACAGGGTTTTCATAAGCTGCATCTATTTTATTTGGAAGCTCTGGCCAAAAGGACTTAAGTAACACCAGTTCTGCCTCAACCATCTGAGGGTGCAGTCGCCAGAAAAACCTAGTTCAGAAAAAGAAAATATATTTTATATTTCCTTTTATATTACAGAATAGCAGTATCTTTGATGTGCTATTTTAAAAAATAGTTCGTGCAGAATGATTTTTTTTTTTTTGTAACATAGAATTTCAAATACATAGAGCCCTTGTAGACCTTTCCTTTCCTCATAGTCACCCAGCTGCAGACCATTTCTGTCACTCACAGAGTGATCAACTCAAACAACAAACCTGAATCTTTTTTTCATTTAGAAGAGAAACACTGCTGTCCCGTGTAAGGCTACTGAATCTTGTACAACTTAATTCATATAAATGGTAGTAGATTTGTGCATGTTGGAGAAAGCCCTGTGAAATTAAAAATGTGTACAAACACTGTCAGTCTTCAGACATATCATCTTCATATGACTGGGTAGTCAAGGCTGTAAATGTATTACAAATCCTGCCAAAAAAGATATATGATATAGTTTCTTACAGGCATCTATACTGATTTGTGATTTTTTTAAATTTATGTTTACTCAAATCTTTAGCAAAAAACTGAAATTGTGTTTTCTCTTGCTTTTATCCAGTCCCCACCACCCATGATGTGGCAGTCTTTTTACCTGTCCTTGAAGACCAACATTTCTCCACGAAGTTCTGTTATTGCATCAAGTGATAAATCTGCATCACATTTCTCTGGTGTTTTCGGATGTTTTGGGTTGGGATCTCTGTCTCCAGCACCTGGAATCATATTGCGTGGCCTAAGTTTGACAATGTTTATTTCCTTCCTGGGTGTCATGATATTGAATAGTATACGGAAGAGTTTCCAAACAGCATGATGAATACAAGCATAATGAACAAATCATTTGTACTAGGGAAAGTCTGTTCTCGCTTTCTGTCCTTTAGCCAAATACTTTCATGGACTTTGCAGTTTGACTGTGTTGCAAGGATGTTAAATGTACTGGCTTTCTTCATTACAAGCTTTGAAGGTCCCATGGAAGTTTTATTCTTTTCATGATGGAACATGAATATTTCTATTTCCTCCTTTAGACTCTGTTTTACCTCTTCTTTTAAGACAGGTTAAAAACTATAAACACTCTGTCCCCCACTCCCCCACCACTAAAGGAGACAGCCCAGTGACCAACTGTCCTCTGCAGTGTTACCTTTTTTCCATTTTTTCCTCTGAACTATTAAATCTGAACTATTAAATCTAAGCATTTTCTATTCCTGAAGTCTAGTTGCCAAGAATACAGTGAATCGATCTTAATCAGCCATGACTGTTGCTATTGAACATCTGCAGCTCTTTAGTAACTATGCAGTGCATCTGTAACAGGTTATGATGACACAGGAAATATATATAATATATTATACAGACTTACCATAGAGCTCTTGGATCCCTTGCACATCATCATCAGGAAGCACAAAACCATGTTTTCCAGTGTATGTGTAAATTGGAAACATCAGAGCTCCAGGGTCTCTAGAGTGTTCAAGTCCCAGTGAATGACCAAACTCATGGGCAGCAACAAGAAACAAGTTATACCCTGTAACCAATCACAGCAAAAGGGAAGGTATAGCTCCTTGTAGCACCAAAGTGGAGTTGGACTAATTAACTAACCTTAACGTTGTTCTTTAACATATGGAACAATAAAGGAGAAAACTGGATTAATACAAAAATTATATATAATTGCTTGTCTTTTCAAACTACCATGGGGTTTGTTTTAATAAGAGCCTAATTAATCAAGTATTTCATAGCTGGTAACATAAATCTTATTGAACAACATTGTTCTATGGGCAGATTTATATTTAGCAACACTTGAAAGCTCTAGGGTGAAGTCTTAGTCTTGCTCAGGTTAAGAATATTTTTGCCAGGACTTCACCTCCGGTATAGAGTCCATATGGTTTTCAGTATTGCAGCAATTATCTTTAAGGCCAGAAGGGTGAAATAACACAGTGCTGAAGAAAAATAGTTCTTTCTTCTATTAAAGCTTTGTTCTGAATAGACAAAGTGAAGAATTTTGAAATTAGATGTTAAGGAGCTGATTTGCAGCTGAGTTAATATATGTGTTTTCTACAGGCTTCAGTAAGGTAATTCTCTACAGCCTGTGATCAGAACTACCTGCCCTTGAGCTCACTGAAATGCCAAGGTGACAAAATGCCTTGTTTGTGGCATATTTTTTAATCACTGCATTTAGGAGGTCAGTATCTTAAAACTTATGCTAGGCATATGTTATACTTTCATTTATGACTGGAGATTAAACCCAGCTTCTTAGGAGTATAGAGTGAACATAATGACTAGTGAACAGTAAACAGGCAACCCAAACTGTTTACAGATATCCAACAGGATGAAATTGTCCATCTAACATAATTTCAAATAATCTCAGGAATTTCTGTTACCTCTAGAATCATCTGACCAAGCTTCATCATCATCAAAATGGGCATCTCCTCCGTAGTCTGGGCCAGGGGGGAACGCATGAGCCAGTAATCCAGAGGGTCCATCAAAGGGGTAAAAGTCACCATGTTCTGTAAAAAACCATTCAAAATTATGAAATCAATTACCCCATTTTATTGGCAGGAATATACCTGTAACGTAAAAATAATCGGTTCTGTTTTACCTTTAGTTCCGAAGGAGATCATGATATCAGCTACGCCACTTCGTATTCTGGTGAAGTTAAGTGGTGTCACATCAGACCACACTTTGAATGCTTTTTTGAAAGCTCTGTCTACTTCAGCACGTCTCAGATCTGAAGTGTAATTCATAATTCTATCAAACAGATTAATATCTCCAGTTAAATTGTGGGAATTGAAGAAAATGTGTAATATACTGTTATCTGAGTGTACATCTCATTTAAAAGGTTTTGCTTGCTTCCTCCCTATGTTTTTATCTAAAAACAAAGATCTGGGCAGCTGTATATAGTATCCCAAAAAATAAAAATAAACCTTTCCATTTTCATTAAAGCCATTCAGAGACTTCTGAAATGATCCAACAGCTTTCTATAATTGGTTTTATATGCACCAGGAGATTTAGAAAATGACAGATATATTCTGTATTAAGTCAAATCATATCAGTAACTTAAAATCTTTTTATGGCATATAAAATATTTCATGACCCTCACTTCCTGGAGGAAAAAACCATGATCCAAAGAGCTTTTAGCAGGCTAGAATCATTCACATTAAAGTAGTATTTATCACCAGATACTGAACTGATATGTCAGAAAGAGTTTGGTGATTTCATATTTGGAATCTGTTAAAAAAACCCAGACTGCAGCTGGTCAAAACACTTCTTGATGACCTTGCAGAATTAAGGGAGAAGGAGCTACCCTGTGACCTTTCAGCCCTGTAGCTTCCCAAGAACAACTTCCTGAGGTCGTGGTGTGGGCACTTGTCTGACAGATCATAGATACTGACATCAGGACTGTGAAATGGATGAGGGACAAGGATCACTCCCTGCCTTCCCACCCACATTGCATGGGCTGTCCTGCATCTATACTGCTTTGGGATAGCCCCCCTCTCCAGCAGATTTGTCCAGGAAAAGACCTAGGTGAAGAAGACACCTAAGCAGTTCCAAAACAGAGCTAAGGTGCAACCTAAATTTAAGCACTGTGTGGATCAGTGGTGAGGTGCATGATCTTCGATTCTATCGCTCTTTCATTTGGCACCGTGGATGTGCTCAGAGTGTCTGCCTGGAGGTCAGGTGAGGGGTAATTAGCTCACACCACAGCAGCTTTCCTGCATTACAAAGTGCGATGGAAAAAACCCATATTTATGTCCTTGGGCTGTAAGGTGGGTCTGGGGACCATTCCAAATGTGTGGCTGAAAGGATGATTTTAACCTGCAATATGAATTTTTTCAAACTCAAACGCACCCTTCTCCTGTCAACCTTACATAGTAAGCAAGCCATTGGACAAGGTGCCTGGAAAGAAGGAACAAGAACACTAAAAATTCCATGCATTTACCTGTATGTCAAATTATTTTTTGACCACTTGAGTTTTCTAGGGAAAAAGTTATATTCTCCCACATCTGGGACACCACATCTTGGTTTCTTCATCAGCTCATATGTTTCTTCATCTAATTTTCCTGTCACCTCCAAGCCAAAAAAAGCTTGCATTTCTCGAAGTTTAGATGCCACTGTGTTGGCACTCTTCCTCATTATGCCAGCAGGATTCGGACGGAGATCATAGTGGGTCCTGAGATAGCGCTAAGGAGGGGAAAGGAAGTGATAAGCCTAGTTTCCAAACAGTTGTAACTATACAACTTACTATTTATAAAACATGCAAATAAATTATTTTATACTGTACCTCTGCAAACTGAAGGTCTTTCTCTGTGAATTCATGGCTGTCTTCAATGGGAATAGGGATTGCCAGGCAAAATGACAAACCCAACAAGAAACAGAAGACAGCTGAAAGTCTTGATTGCATCATGTTGGATTTGTGAAGTCTGAAGCCCTGATGTTTTAGAGAGCAGTTACCTTTACTTTTATAGCCCCAACCCCGTGAGTCACTGCTTAGGGACAACTTAGAACTTCCTTGTTACTGTAGGTAAACATGCTTAGACGGCTACTTTTTCTCTCCTCCCCAGCACTGTGGTTTAGGCATCTGTTGTCCCACTGAGGGCTCTGAAACTGTATCCTCATGTAAACACAGTCTCAGAATATTGACATAGGTTGTGGGAAAAAGTGGGCAGCAGCAAACTGCACTTTTTGATTATGTTGCAATAAATTACACTAGAAATGACTGGCAATAACTTTGCAATAACTTACTCTGTTAGAAAAATTGCCCTTGTACTATTTGATAGGCAATAAAAATACATAACAAGCTTTATTTTTAACAGTTGGAATTGAAATGTGAAATACACATTTCAATTGTTAATAAATGTTGCATTGGCTGATAAGAAATAACATTTAGGAGTATACAGTAGGACATTACATTTCCTTATTTCTGTAAAGAACCATAACTCTAAAACATTAACACAAATTTTACTTCAGAGATGCTTAAAGTGACTACTTTCATATCTTTCAGAATAATTTATTGTTTGATATGTACTCAAATATAAATGCTAAGTATCAGGAAAATGTTTTAGACATTTTAAAAAGTTTTTTATTATTAGCAATGCATGTCAGGTAAAGTGACTACTTTACACAATTTTCCTTCATTAAAAAACTTGAGTTTAGTTTACTTTATGAGGGCAGCAAAGCCACAGATCAATGAGATGGCCACTACTCCAAGGAAGGCAATCTGCCAGCTATAGGTAGGCAATGAATCTGTGTGTTTAGAATGGCAGAAGTAAATTATTTTGACTTATGAGGTAGAAAATGGGATGAATCTGTCATTATGACAGACATGGACGTTATTAAGCTTCAAAGCTTAAAGATGATTTCTGTTTCCCCAGGGTCACCCTAATCTCAGCTGCCACTAAAACTTGTATCATAGAATGTTCCCACAAGCATGGGTCTGAGTGGAGGTACTGTTTTGGCTGATTCCACCTTCCTCTTTCATGAAGGCTAATGCTGCATGGAAAACCTCAGGCAGCTTTCTGGTAGACACTGATACACACTTTATGGAATACACTACCCTGTCATGGATGTTGCCTTGTTGACAAAACAGGAAAAGAAGAATAATCAGTGAAGCTGAATGTGTAAAAGCTCAATTTGTTACTCAAACAATACTAGCCTTCTGTCTTATGATGACAAACAGCAAAAGCAAATAAAGCTGGGAGGAATTTGTTATGTAGGCTATTTCTACCTCACTGCCCATCTCAGCCAGTGCTAAGTATGGTTACACCAGTCAGGAACAGACAACATCTCTTCAGACAGTGTGTATATTCTCCTTTACACTGTCCATCATTGACTGTTTTTATTCAGCAATGGTAGCATCGAGACTCTTCGTTATCTCACCTTCTTAAGAAGTTCTCTCACCTGAAGTCCTTCAGGAAGAGCACTGAATCCATATTGCCGATGTCCTCACTGCACCACACTCCTTGCTAATGCAGGCTGCCAGGATAAGTGTGCTGTGATTCTATGATTCTATGTCGTATTTCTTTCCTTCCAGCATTTCTGTATTCATATCTGCAGCATTACAGAGTCTTGAGACACTCAGTTATGCAGTAAGCAAAGTTTACAGTGAATTTCACTTGCTTAATTTGGAGCTTAGAAGCAGTGGTGCTGCCTTGTCATGGTTTTCGGGGCTGTAAGGAACATTTTCTTGAGACCATGAAGCTGTGAGTGTCACTGCTCTGAAGAACAACACCAGACAGATCTCGGGAACATGTGAGTGCAATGAATACCTTAAAATCCCACAGGTAACATTCCTGTGAATTTCAAATTCTCTGAAATTAGCTTTCTAGTACCTAAGGAACAACAATCATAGAATCATGGAATGGTTAGGGTTGGAAGGGACCTGAAAGACCATCTAGTTCCAACTCCCCTGCCATGGGCAGGGACACCTTCCACTAGACCAGGTTGCTCAAAGCCTCATCCAGCCTGGCCTTGAAGACATCCAGGGATGGGGCATCCGCAGCTTCTCTGGGCAACCTGTTTCAGTGCCTCACCACCCACTGTGTGAAGAACTTCTTCCTGATATCTAATCTAAACCTCCTTGCTCCATTTGTATATCACTGCCCTTTGGCAGATGTAACTATAAGTTTTTTATTCTGTGTCAGGCCCTTATACCACCACACTTTCTCAGCTCTGATGTTTGAGTCTTTGCTTCTGAAATAGGAGAAATGAATTTGCTAACCAACTGTTAGTGCAAAATGTGATCAGTTCATCACACTTTATGAGAGAATGATCCCAAATTATTCCTAAGGGGTTTCAGGGTGGCCTTAACAAATATAGTTTAGCTAATTGGAGATTAAAGGTGAAACCAAGTAATCAGAGATAATGTTTGAATGATATACATATAGAACAGAAAAATATAATTAAACTAGACACAAGAATAAAATTAAAGAGCAGTGTAAGTCTATTGAATAATGCTCCAAGGAGGTGTGGAGCTCTCCATTCTTCAAAACGTTTTAACTGCAGTAGTCAAAGCAGTAGTAAATAGAACTGTCTTGCATGAAAAGAATGATAGATCAGGTAGGGGAGAATGATTTTTCGCTTTCTACTCTGTGATTTTTTTACAATGATGCTCTGAAGTCCTTTGAAGTTCACAAGGAAAACTCTTTCAAAAATATTGCCTTTGGCACCCTTCACAGAGTTGTCCTGAAGCATGTCCAAGGAATATTTGAAGAAGTGGACAAAATAATTATAGGAAAGAAATAAAACAGGCAGTTTTTCTGAAATCAACTGCTCTTATTAGATTTGTGTAGGAAGAGATGCATAAAACTGGGTCTTTTCCTATTAAGACAATGAAAAGAACAAGTGAAAAGACCCTCCACTGTTTTGTACAAATTTTGCAAGTGAGTAGAAAAACATCAGAAGAAAAAAAAGCCAGGGAGTCTGTAACTGCTTGTCAGAGGGAGTAAATCAAAATGCTAAACCAGAAATTGATTTCTGAAAGATTGTGTGTAATTAGCCATCTGAGAGTGGACTATGGCTGGATCGTGTTTTCTGCACGTTCAGTTGAGTCCTTTGGGAGCCCTGGCCATGTAAGTATACACGATCCATTACATTTTCTAACACATTTTATTGCTATTTTTATTACACCAGTGGCTAGAAATCTATATTGAGACATGTTTTTTTATGTTCTCTGTACAGAAACTGAAGAAGCAGGGGTGAAAGACTGTGGAAACAAGCACATTAAAGGACCAGTGAAAATGAGCAATAGTCCACCTTTTTCCAAACTGACATCACTGATGTATCATGTGATTATTCTTAAGGGGAGACAAAAGCCTTGACAGGGCTGGGAACTAAACACAGACCTCTGAAGTTGCTGTCTGTTACCTTAATACCTTAATACTCCTTAAATCCTCAAGCAAGTGAAATTTTTAAAGTTGGCAATGATAAAAAGATAACCTCAAAGCCTGCCAGTGTTGGGCAATGTAAGACATAAATTCCTTGGCTCAAGGTCAAGTGATGGCACTGTCTGAATTAAAAAATAAAATAGAAAAAGGAGATAAAAACTGTGAAGAAAAATGCAAACGAAGGTTAAAAGCAGTCAGCAGTGGTTCATAGACCTTGGTCTGACCTCAGTGCAAACAAGCAAGCACGGAAAGTTACATTTTAAAAGCACAGAAATCCACAAAACTGCTGAATAGTAAGATTTCAACAAGCACCGCAAAATTTCTGCAGTTCTTGCATCTTGTGGATGTGGGTAAAGTTAGCTGGACTGATGGTAATTTTCACAGCAGAGACTGGAACAATCATGCCAAGTTTCCCCTCAAGATAAAATGGATAAAGAGGGAAGAGAGATGTTGCAAGAAGAAATGAACTGCCTTAAAGCAGCATTTAGGTACTAATTATTTGAAAACAGGAATCTTGCCAACCATATGGTTTCAACATACATTTTGCTACCGCAAATAATTGAAAGGTGTCATGTTTTGATTTACACTTTGTGTTTGGTGCCCAAAATAGCACTGTATAGTGAAGGTGGTGAATGCTCTGTGACTCTGAAAAAGCAGAGACTTCACTTAAGACAAATAAACAAGTCAATGAGTCTGTTTGCTAATGTTTCTTACCACAAGTTATATTTCAAGTGAGTCTCCAGTGCCTAGGGTTATGCCATTATATTTAGATCAGCTTCCTCTGAGAAGGACAGTATTCTGTGCCCCATTGGGCAGCTGGGTAAATGGAGTCCCAGAGGAGTTAAAAACACACTGGCTCTGCCTCTCCAGGTGGGATTCCACCTGTGGGACCTGTTACAAGAGACAGCTGAGCATGGTTTTCACAAGCAGCTCTTCATCTGGGATGGCAAGGGATGCTACCCCAACCTGACTCCTTTTTATTTTAAATAGCAGTATCCTTGTGCCATTTGCTGGCAAATAAAAAGATGCAATCGGGATGCCAAGAGGTAAGGGTCTAGTGCCAGAGGTAAGAAACATATAAGCATGTTTCCAAGAGGCAGTGGCTCTTGTTTGAATGAGTTCATGCAGAGCCTGTGGTCATACAGAGGCAAAGCGTACTGTGGATCAGCTGCCTGTCTGTCAGCCTACAGCATAAGACTCCCACTGGTCAGCAGTACCTTTCTTCTGTATTTACAGAGCTCTAAGGCAAAACTCAGCTGTAGATTAGAGAAGTAAATCTGAGCACCTTCTTGGATGTTGCATGTCTAAACTCTCATTATAAACAATGAAGTCAATACACTCACTAAACCCTAAACAGCAGTTCAGTTTACACTGGGGTGGGCACCTTGGGATTATTTCAGTGGCTCACATGTGGAATGTTGTTTCAGCCTAACGTTGTTTGAAGGACAGAGAGTTCTCGTCAGTCCTATGTCACATCTGGCAGTCTCGTGCAGATGACTTGGGTTCCCTCCTGTACCTGAAACGGCACTAGATGCCTTCCTTCAG